CTAGATGTACATGTACATGCATGTACACGTATTATTATTTTTTATTGTTTTTTTAATTATTATTTTTCCAGAATCAAGAATTTTTAAGTCTCAAGGATCTAGTTCCTGTCATTGAAAGACTAAAGACGGTTACTTTTCACGTGAAGGAAATTGCAATGAAATCACAAATACTGCAAAACAGTGAGACACACCTCTTTTTTAACCATTAATATTAACCCATTCTATTTAAGGCACACTTCCACACGTTACCATATCTGGCGACCACAACAGGTTACATGTGACATTCTCGTTGCCTAGCAACCTCATGGAGAACCTTCCGGAAGAGTTGACATCGGACGAGGGCGTACCGGTTTACCCTCTGTTGTTTAATAATGGACTAGCGGAGCTGAGCGAAACCAGTAGCCAGTTTAAGGTGGAGCAAGAAATTAATAAAGCATCTTATGTCACACTCAGGGACTACTGTGAAGGAGTAAAGTATGTGTGGGTGGAGTAGATAATGTAATGTACATGTATGATTAAAACTGGGAGTGACTTGGAGCCAGCTGGAAGCATGAATGCATGGGCTATAGCCTTGGGTATTTTTCAGATTTTAGCAAATTTCTTAAAATGGCTGTAACTTGAAAAATTTAAGTCGGAATGAGCTCAAATTTTCTACACAGCATAAGAATGTCAATATGTATCAGAAAATGTAATAAAAATTGGGGGTGATTTTTGGCCATTTTTTTTGGAAAAAAGCATGGGCTATAGCCTTGGGTATTTTTCAGATTTTGGCAAATTTCTTAAAATGGCCGTAACTTAAAAAATTTAAGTCGGAATGAGCTCAAACTTGCTACACAGCATAAGGACATCAATATGTATCAGAAAATGTAATAAAAATTGGGGGTGATTTTTTGGCCATTTTTCGGAAAAAAGCATGGGCTATAGCCTTGGGTATTTTTCAGATTTTGGCAAATTTCTTAAAATAGCCATAACTTGAAAAATTTAAGTCGGAATGAGCTCAAACTTTCTACACAGCATAAGGACATCAATATGCATCAGAAAATGTAATAAAAATTGGGGTCATTTTTTAGCCATTTTTTGGAAAAAAGCATGGGCTATAGCCTTGAGTATTTTTCAGATTTTGGCATATCTTTTCTAATGCTCATAAGTTTAATTTTTTGGTGTATTATTTATTTATTTTTCCAAAGGCAATATCAGTTAAGCAAGGTGACAGACACCACTAAAGACTCCATCGAGCAAACTATAAAACTAGGTGAGGTCAAACGGCCGCTGGACGCAATGGAAAAACTACTGATCCAGCTGGAAGGAGTCATTCAAGAACCGATGTCATCCGGCACTGAAATCCTCTCTCTCTCCTCTGAGCTGATCCAGAGATTAGGTGGTGTCTCGCTATGTGTCTGTGATTCCGGTATATACCGATCCCAAGCAGTCACCACCTTACAGGAGGTCTCTTTACTCTCTCGTTGCTACGGGCTGCAATTTCGCTCGTTCCGATTAGCTTTAAACGTACTTCGTCTCTCGGGGGCGTTGCCCATTTTGGTGAAGAAGAATTCATTAAAGTATACAGCTTTTCCACCTACTGCACCTGGGTAAGTGTTCTATTTATAGCCGATTGTTCTATTAATAGTATGACATCATTGTTTCTATTTTTAGGTTGTATCAACTTCCCCCACTGTAGTTATTAGAACATTCACTGGTAAATTGTGCTATTTTTTTTCGTTGACAAATTTTGTGTGTTACTTTGTTTGCAAGTGGAATGTGTTGATAGATTTTTATAATTATTTTAAATTATTATTTATTTGTTTTTTTTAGTTTAATTTTAACTTTTTCGTTGTTATTTTTGTGACTTGAAAAAAGTAAATAATTGAATAATAATAATAATATTAAATATTAACAAGAGAGGGCTATATATAATAATAATAATAATAATCATAGGCCTAACTGAGGGAAAAAAGAATTAAAGATGTTTGTAAATGTTACTCTCTTTTAGCAGCTGCTCCGTCATCTTGATTTGGATCGTTGTGAATAGTTTCATCGCTACCATTGACGCCATCTCCTGCTGTTGAGTCAGTAGGTGTCTTCTTTGAAGGATAATCTTCATAACTAGAAAAAAAGAGAGAGAAAGGGAAAGGAAAGAGTGGAAAAGATAAATTATATATCAG